CATAAGCCCCGCCCAGAATCCATACACAAATCGCAAGCGAGATGAGTGGTCACTGTTTACCCAGTCTGTAACAAAGTAACAATGGACGTCAACATGAACTTGTGACAGAAGCGTCGCTTGTTCTCCGAGTGGTAGTACGGGTGTTTGTTTTACCATAGCACTTGATCCTCCTTGTCTGACACATTTCATTTTATTGTCACCCGTGCACAAAAGCAGCAACAAAAGAAAAGAAAACCCAGCGAAAACAACAACAACAATGCAACTACTTTCGGTTGGGACCTCAGAAAGGAAGGGTTTGTTTTCTCAGAAAGGAATCATTTGTTTTCTTCGATCAGTCCTGCCTAAGACGGCCACCTGTCTTATACGGCCACTTTTCTCCTTGACAATGGGTGGCCGTCTTACACAGGTTTGACTGTATTGAGAAATGCCTAAGCGTCTCAAACAACTTCTCCCAATCCAGCCAACCGTACCTGCTCGTGGTGATTCCAGTTTTCACTGACACGGCTCTGGCGAATGGCGAGTTGTTGGCGTCAACAAACCAAACCTCCCGTTTCCTAGAAGGGTTAAAACAACAGGATGGAAGCAGGTGTGGCCCCACAAGGTGCAGGAGGCAGAACCCACCGATGCGTGGTAGACGCCTATGCTCCTCACTAACACACCCCTACTCTCTACTGCTTTTTATCAACACACCCTCTGTGACTGTGGCTGAGAAGGTACCAGCCAGTTTTAGAGTGTCTGGGTGCAGGGGACAGACCGAGCGGAATGCCTGACTTGCCTTCTGACCGTGGACCTCTAAGTAAAAGTAAAAGGCACAATGACCCAGGATGTGACAATCGAATGACTTTCCCACTAGGCCGATACCTCATGCAAGAGTAGAAAACTTTAGCCAGTAGTCATTGGTGGCAGGGAATGGGCAACGTGAACCCTACCGGAATTACACGGTCACACGGCAGTTAGGTCTTTCCTGTCTCATGAAAACCCCTAGTACCCTCCTATCCTCAACATAAATGGTCTCTTCTCAGGAGGGCAGGCAGTCCACAGACACCTCAGTCCACATACACTTTTCTTATTTTGCCAAATTTGTCTTCATTCTGTTGTTTCTGTCCTGTCTGGCATCCCTGTTCTTCGTGTTGCCTATTTGGTCATCAAGACTTCGGGATTTCTTCTCTGGATGTAAACAAATGGATAGTGGACTTAAACGGACAGAACTACAAAATCACCCAAATTTTAAGTTACTACTCTAACACAATAGATCTTGTTCTAGTTTCACTCTTGAGTAAATTCTTCTAGGTAACAATGACCAGATCCCAACCTCTTGTCTAGCGACACTCTATAATCTATAACTACAGTCTAGATCTAGTCTAGGCCAGGCCTACTCTTGAAATGCTAGATTCTAGACCTTCCCAATAATCAACCTTAGAAATTGATATGGTATTATAATACGAAGTGACTATTTCTCAGAACGCTCGGGAAAATAAACTTGACCTCTATTTCTCAGAACGGTTTCTGTTTTCGAGATTTTTTGGTCACTTGAGAGATTTCGGCGTCATCTTTTATTCTGCGAGGACTGGGAGGAAGCATCTTTGGCATCGAATTCAATTTCTAGAGCTAGAGATATTTAAATGTCCTAATATTCAGATACTTCAATTGTGGTTAGGGCAACGTTCCGAAACTAGAAAATGCCTTCAAAAGGTACTGCGAGAAAACAAGACTGCTCGACTTTGGCAGTCCTATTTTGTAAGTCACCCCTAAAGCAAAAACTATAATCCTTCAGGTAAACCAAAAAAAATCCCTCCACCCCCCACCCCCCACACACACACACATACACCCCACACATACGCACACTCACACAAACGTGCGCGTGAGCCACTCCATTTGCAAATAACCAACTAATCTCGAGAACGTAAACTGTTAGGAAAAATGGTAAATTTTAACTTTTGCACCCACACACAGATGCACTGATATGAGGGCTAAACTGCCATAATTTTTGCTGCAGAACACACGTACGGCCACTAAAACCCTTGCAATAAAAAATTTTTTCAAGTAAAAATATCAATCCTAATCACCAAAATATCAAATCACCCCCCCCCCCCCCCCACCCCCATCGATTCTTTTTAAGTCAAGGGGGCATGCCGCCTGAAACCCCCGATGTTGTTAAATAAATACAAGTCAAATATATTACTACGACATTTGTCATAGATATAGTATAGTTCTGTTTTCAAACATCAAAAACTCAATAACTATTGATTTGCGGCAAAAATGAAAGCCAAATTCGTGTTCAGCATGCAAAATACTACTAGAAAAAAAGTATCTAAAATGTATTAATGAGACAGGTGCAGGCGTAAAATAAAAATGGAGAAAAAGAGTTTCAATCAAGTTTATTTTCCTGATCTAGTCTAGATCTAGATATTGGTAAGATTGAAGAATACCGGACCAGCGGACTGACTTAGCCTTAGCCTAGATCTATGTCTCAACCTACGGCCTAAGGAATTCATAATTTTCCCGTTTTTAATATCTCTCAATGGAGAATCTCGGACCGGTAGATCTATTCATTAAAATTTTGTCAGGGGTGAGACCCCTCCCTGAACCCCCCTCCTCCACCTCAACCACCTGCCCCATCAACCCCACTTTCTCGCGCAATAATGTACGAGTGGTCCGGTATTCTTTAGAGGTGTGCGAGTCCAGCATATTAAGATTCGAGTCCAGACTCGAGTATCTGCTCTGGACTCGAGTAATTACTCGAGTAATTACTCGAGTCCCACGGCTCTTAAGACTCGAGTTATTACTCGAGTAATAGTATCCCGAAAGGGAATTTTAGTGGGTTTCAAAAAAGGTTTTGTTGAATTCCTAGGAGGGAGCTTGAGTTGGCTTATGGCAATTCTAGACATATGCTGTTTATACCGTATTTATTTCATTTTATCTTAGGAAGTGGCTATTCTCACCCTAGGTGAGAATAAAAATGTGATCGACCTCTCACCCCGGGTGAGACTAGCCAGTGTTGGCTATTCTCACCCGCTGTGAAACAAAACCGGGTGTTCCTAATTTCTGAATACTTCCTATCGGTGAGGATGATTAAATAGACAAACCCCTTTTTAAAAAAATGATATTATAACACAAAAGTAAAACTAATTTGGTGGTCTACAATGATGCTACGGCTGTTTCACTTTTAGAATAGAGCCGAACTACCCTAATCGGCATTTTGTTTTGCCCAGAAGTTCTCGCTATATCTAGGCTACTCCTCTCTCTCTCTCTCTCTTTCAATGCCCGCAGATAAAATTGCATGTTTTTAACACAAGAGGACTGGAACGCTTGTTTACACGACAGAATTCAATTTTTAAAAAGTGTAGATCTAGAATTCTGTGGTTTACACTGGGTATCACATCACGGTAAATGCACACATGAAGAGAATAGCCAAAAGGCTCGCTCTCTCACCCCGGGTGAGTGAGAAGCTTACAACTGTATAACAACTAAGCTAGAATAGAGGTAGTCTTCATCTTATCTTATCTTATTTTTTATTTTTTTTAAATAATTCTTTGTTACAACAGTAAGAATAAAATGTACACAAACCTCAGACAATGCACTTCATAAAAGAAAGAAGTTTGATTGGTCATCGTGGGTTTCTAACAGTGGTTTCCTTTTTGCTTTTTTCTGGGGGGGGGGGGTTGGTTTTTTCCTTTGGGGAAGGGGTATTTTTGGGTTTTTTTGTTCCTTTTCCTTCAGTTTAAAAAAATTGCTTATATCAGAATTTTTCTTTTATCAATTCTTAACTTTTTTAAAAACCAAATTTTTCTCCTTTTTTCTGTTTTCCACCTACAGACTCGAGTCTGGACTCGAGTCCTTACTCGAGTAATTTACTTATGACTCGAGTCTGGACTCGCCGCATGTATTACTCGAGTACTCGAGCCTGGACTCGTTACTCGCACACCTCTAGTATTCTTCAAGGAAGAGGCTAGCCGTACTTAATGACGGCTAGACTGGCAGTCTAGCCGTACTTATTCTTATAATAATATGATGGCTAGACTGACCTATTTACAAAAATAGGCCTACTGAATTGTACATTTTTAGTGTGCAGTACCTAAAGTATTTGTATTTGAGACGAAACCAGGGGCCTTAATGACAGTGCATGTATTTTAAACCTCCTGTTTTCTAATGTTAATAGGGCCTAAGATAAGTACGGCTAGACTGGCAGTCTAGCCGTACTTAAGTACGGCTAGACTTCTTGTCTAGCCGTACTTAAGTACGGGTAGACATCCAGGCTAGCCGTACTTAAGGACGGCTAGACTGTCAGGCTAGCCGTACTTAATATTGAAGGCTGAATTGTAAATGAAATTTTTAGTTTGCAATGTCAAAAGTATTTGTATTTCAGACAAAACCAAAAGGTTCCTTACTGACTTGCATGTATCTAGAATCTAGATCTAGATTCTAGATCTAGATCTAGATCTAGATCTATATCTAGATCTAGACTCTAGATCTAGATTAGATAGAATCTAGATAATACTAGATTTAGATCTCTAATCTAGATCTAGATCTAGAAGAATCTAGATATCTAGACAGATCTAGATTAGATCTAGATCTAGATCTAGATCTAGATCTATCTATGTCTAGATCTATATCTAGATATCTAGATATCTAGAGTCTAGATCTAGATTCTAGATTCTAGATCTAATCTAGATTAGTGGTAGATATCTCTAGATTTGATAGAGATCTAGAAAATCTAGACTCTAGATTAGATCTAAATTTAGATAGCCTAGATCTATCTAGAAATCTAGAGTCTAGAATCCGAAAGGGTTAGGCTACAAGAAGTAGATCTAGAATCAGGCATTGCTCTTGCGACTTGACAGAATGACCAAACAATGTCAATGATGAGTCTGCTCCTGGCTGAGGAAGCTGGGGGAACGGGATTGTTGTTGATACAAAAATGCTTTCAAGTTCGACAAGATCACATCTTGAGCGTACATAAAGCGGATAAGATAATTATTACTTATGTGTAAAACACAAACCTTGATTGTGTGTCAGGATTGCAGATTGTGAATTGCGTGGAGCAGTACTTTCTGTTTGGTGCAGTCAGCGTTGATCCAGCCCTGCACAGCACTCGTAATTCTAATTTTCTTTTTGGTTAAATATAACCAGATATTTTCTCCACCCTAATGTCAAAATGTGAACTTAAACACCTAGTCTAATGCTCTAAACTTTTTTCAGAAAAATCAATGAACCCAGAGTCATGTTAAACAAAATGTGCTTTTAAAATGAAAGCAGAAAAATACTTAGGGGGAGGGGGCAGTAAAAAAAGCAAACCCTTAAAGTTCCAATTTGGCATTGAAAAGATTCAACGACGCTTTGACAGCTAGAGCTTGCATGTATTTTAGTTATGCGCTGAGAAGCAGGAAAAATCTGCGCTCAATTTAGCAGTCCGCGTAAATGGTAACCTAGCTTGCGTTGTATTTTTCTTGAAAACAGAGCTTCGGCATTTAAATTTTGACGCTTAAAGGCGCAATCAAACAGACTCTTACCCCAAAAACTCAAAATAACTGGCGACGTACTTTTGAGTGCAGGTGCAGGATTTTTTCCTCTTTTTGAAGCAATCGATAAGTATTTTTAGAAAGTAGGCCTAAGCTGACAGCCAATCATTTTTCTTGCGCTACGATAACTGCTCTAATATTCTAAATTCTGCACAGCACTGTCATGGTTGAGTGTAGTTTGTTGAGGAACCACTGCGCAACTTCCAATGCATGGCATACACCTAGATATAGGCCTATTGTTTTATTTTAGTTGCTTGATGTGATGGTATTTTTAGATTATCTGAACTGTATTGAGGCTCATCGGCATTGTTCAGAACTGATGTGTCGGCTGACTGTGGCTGGGTAGGCCTACGCGCGCGTGTGGCTGTGTGTGTGTGTGTGTGTGTGTGTGTGTGTGTGTGTGTGTG